CAGGGAGGGGGCTGGGGTAGCACCGTGGCTCTCAGGGAGAGCAAGACGGGCGGTGGGGACCTACTGGGGAAGAGACAGTTGGTCTGAGAGGAGGGAGGAGGTCTCGTTCCCGTTCCATGGGGAGCGGAGAGGCCAGGCCTGGTGCCCCAGAGCTCCCTCGAGGTGACAGGGGGGACATGCACGGGGATGTCCCCGTAAAGCCACCGCTTGGCTGCTCAGCCAACGTCAAATGGCTGTGGCGGGGGCTTTAGTGCAGCAAGATGTTGGCTGTGGCTCCGTTGGGTCCTTGTGGGGTGGGAGCTGTGCTAGGGGGAGAAGTGGCTGAGTCCAGAGCGAGCCGAGCCGTGCCATGCCGTGAGCACCTCGAGGCCACATTCTGTCCCCATGGAGGGACGGGGCCATGGTCAGGGTGGGAGCAGAGGCTGTGGGCTGTCCCAGTCCTCGGTGGCTGAGGGAGTCGGGGTGAGTGGAGGGGACCAGCTGCCAGGCTTCAGGCTGTGCTAGAAGTTCTCCTGCTCCTGACCATCAGCCTCTTCAAAATCAAATACGGGTGTGCTGTGAGAGGAGAGCCCCCTCTGCCCCCCCAGCCCCCCTGGGCTGCCCCTGTCCCCTCCAGCTGAGCTCCATCCCTGAGACCCCAAACCCATGGAGAGGAGCTCTGCAGGGCGCACCGGAGGCAGGCCAGGTCTCATGAGGGTCTGAGCCCCCTTGAAGAGGCAACAGCTCCTCTCTGCACCCCACAACCTGGACCCCTGGGTCCTCCCTGAGACCCCAAACCCATGGAGAGGAGCTCTGCAGGGCGCACCGGAGGCAGGCCACGTCTCATGAGGGTCTGAGCCCCCTTGAAGAGGCAACAGCTCCTCTCTGCACCCCACAACCTGGACCCCTGGGTCCTCCCTGACCTCTCCAACCCCCCCCAAGCTTTGGCCAGCAAGTCCCCATCAATTAATCAATCAACCCCGGGCTCCAGGCTGGGCTCCTCCATCCCCACTCCCTGCTCTCCTCCCCCTGGGTCCAGGGGCTCAGAACAGCCCAGTTTGGCCCATCAAGGTTGGTGGGTCCCCATCAGGGTCCCGATGGTGGGGTGACTCCTCTGCCCCTACCTGAGCTGCAAGGCGCACTGTAGGCAGCATCCGTGCGGTCACCTGCAACGGGAAGGACAGTGACCGATGGGCTCAGGGTGAGCTGCTCCCGCTAACGAGCTAAAGCTC